GAAAGAAAGAAAGAAAGAAAGAAAGAAAGAAAGAAAGAAAGAAAGAAAAAGAAAGAAACCAGTTTGCGTGTTGAATGCGTATCGGAGGAGAATGATGGAGAGTTAAAGGCAGAGTACTCTAGCTCAGAGACAGGCAGGGGGTTGGGGAAGTAAAGAGAATAGTGAATGAAAAAAAATAACCTTTATGAGTGGCTACCGCGTGCCAGCCATTGTGAATAGCATTGCATTTACCTCACCAAATTTCTTATAATAGTTCTAAGTACTAGCTCCATTTAACATATGAGGGAACTAAGACTTAAAGAAGTTAAATAACTTGTCCGATGTACACAGCTATTAAGTGAAAAAAAAAAAAAAACACCAAAAAACTGGAATCCAGTTTGTCTGATTTCCAAAGCTCCTCCTATTATCTTTCTGCTGGTCCTCATGAAGATTCTGGAGGGCCCAGATAAGGGCAGTGGACATGGAAACAGCTCACAGAAGGGTACATCAGGAAGATGTGTGATAGTTACAAGCAATAGAACTTAATGTAAGTGCTGAGGAACAGGAAGGTGTCACATTTGCCTGGGTGTGAGAAAGGACAGTCCAGCTTTGTGCTGAATTTGAGGGACTCATATATCCAGAAGGTGCTTGAAAGAGTTAGAAATGCAGACTTTTAGTTCAGGAGTAGGAGGTCAGAGCCAGTGTTAGGTCTGGGAGTCACTGGCACAAAAGCTATTAGTGGAAGCCAAGAGAGAGAATGCACATAATAGAGGCACATAGAGAAGAGGAAGGTTGACAGTCTTGAGATCATCTACACTGAAGCTGTAGGGAGAAGGAAGGTGGAAGCAATGGTCAGATGGTGAGAGGAGAGTCAAAAGAGCACAGTGTCTTGGAAGAGGTAATCAAAAAGGACTACTGAGTGGGGCGCCTGGGTGGCTCGGTCGGTTAGGCAGTTGACTTTGGCCCAGGTCATGATCTCACAGTTCGTGAGTTTGAGCCTCATGTCGGGCTCTGTGCTGACAGCTTGGAGCCTGCTTCAGATTCTTGTCTCCCTTTCTCTCTCTGCCCCTCCCCGACTTTGACGCTCAGTCCCTCTCTCTCTCTCTCTCTCTCTCTTCCTCTCTCCCTCTCTCAAAAGTAAACATTTCCAAAAAAAAGGACTACTGAGAACTCACTGTTTTTGGCAATCACAAGTCTGTTGGGGGGGCACCTGGCTGGCTCAGTCAGTTAAGCGTCGAGTTTGGCTCAGGTCATGATCTCGCGGTTTGTGGGTTCGAGCCCTGCATCGGGCTCTGTGCTGACAGCTCAGAGCCTGGAGCCTGTTTCAGATTCTGTGTCTCCCTGTCTCTCTCTGCCCCTCCCCTGCTCACACTCTGTCTCAAAAATAAATAAACATTAAAAAAAAATTTTTTTTTAAGTCTGTTGGCGATCTTTGTGAAAATAGTTTAGGTGTCGTTTCAGAGCACCAGGTTAGACATCATTTTATATTGGCCTGAGGGAAGAATGTGAAGGCATTAATAAGTGCACAGTCCTCTTTCCAGAAGTTTGCCATGTCTGTACGAAGAGTTTGGGGAGGAAGTGATTCAAGGGAAGCAGGAATGGATTCAGAGAAATGAGACCGCTATAGACTAAAACTGAGAAAGAGACGCTGTCCTGTTGAACATAGTAATGAGGTGAAAGTGGAATGCACCCTGAAGAAAATGAGACAGGATGAAATAGAAAAGATTAAGGGAGTAGTGGTATTTTTTTCTGTGAGGTTGAGGCCCTGTAACAGAGAATAGGCACCAGCAGTCAAGATGGTTTGATTCTGAACCCACTACTGAATGAATCAGGTGATCCTTTAAGCTTCCTGCCCTGGGTGAGGAGGTAGTCTCAGAGGTCAGGAGCTTGTGCCTGAAGTTGGAGGTGGGCAGGGGTGGCCCCTCCCATGGCTGTCTTGAGCAGCTTGGTGGTTGTCTTACCAAACTTCCCTTCTCAGGCATT